CTTTATATTCTCGTCTGACAGTTTTGCGACTTGTACGTCTAGGAAGGGCAGTTGATTGTCGACCTTGTTGGGAAATATTGAGTTTAAAAGTGCCTTGAAATCTTGCACGTCGCTCCTTTTTATTATAACGAATGTGTCGTCAGCATATCTGGCCCAGTTTTGTCAACACCTTTTTCCAACGAGCCCAAACACACTGCAGCGACAACGATGACAAGATGAAGGAGGTTAAATACTTACGTGCCTTATCTGAAGCCAACGGTTACCCGAAGTCATTAATACTCAATGTCTCAGGAAGCCCCACTTTGGGCGATCGAGCGAGGAGGAACCAAATTCTCGCTGTCGATCCCCTACATGCATACATACATACAAACATACATCGATAGTTCGATCGTCGTGTTCGGCGATGTCCAACGCGTGACCCACAGTAGATTGTGGGAGCAGGGACGGCGACTTGCGCAGGGGTTTATAGTGCCAGTGGACTTGCGCTGCATCTGCCACACTCTCTTTTCCTCCCTCGCCTGGGTCCGGTGTCAATACAGAGTCGAGAAGACCGGAGATGAGTGAGGCCGCAGGTGGATGGCTTGGACGGATCTTCACCTTGGCTTTTCAGTACACCCCCTGGTCCACGCAACAAATGACCAGGATTTTGACCAACACAACAGAGATTTGGAGGCCGGCACGGCCGAAGCCGCACCTAGGCGTGCCGCCAACGCCTGGCCCGGAGAAGGGGGAGGATGGAAGTGGTGGTTCGGAAGAGCAGTTCGAGTTAGTTGGGGACGGAGAGGACGAGGAGGAGGCGAGTGGAGGGAAGACGGTTGGTGCGATCCGAGAGGTGCAGTTGATCCGAAGATGTCCAACAAGTCCTCTTCGAGCCCGGAATGTCCGTTGGCACCGAGGACACGTTGAAAGCGGTTGTGCGCGGCGTTGCGGAGTGGGCGCAGCTGTGATTTGCGTGCTTTGCGTTCGACTTTGTCGACGGCGATGCGGTTGGCTTCATAGATCGCAGCGCCTGTCTTCACTGTCCTCCTCCAGGTCGGCCGGTCGTGGGCGAGATCTTCCAATTTGGTCGGGTTAATGTGTAGACGTTTCAGGGAGGACTTCAGAGTACCATTGTATCGGCAAATTTGGCCTCCATGACGTCGAGAACCTCCGACGACGTCTCCGTAGAAAAGTCGTTTGGGTAGCCGCACGTCGTCCATGCGCACCAGGTGGCCGCTCCAACGCAGACGCATTTGTCTCATCATGGTGTAGATGCTGAGGATTCCCATCCTCTCCAGCACATCAGTATCGGGGATTCTATCCTGCCAGCTCAGCCTCAGGATGCGACGAAGACAGCTGAGATGGATGTAGTTGAGTCGGCGTGCCTGCTTCGTGTACACTGTCCAAGTCTCCCCTCCGTACAGCAGCGTCTTCAGGATGACGGCCTTGTACATCTTTAGCTTCGTGCTCAGTTGAGGACCGTGACGATTCCAAACTGTGCTTTGGAGGCAGCCGAAGGCTTGACTGGCTTTCGGAATCCTGTGGGCGATTTCGTCATCGATTTCGGTGCTGCGGGAGAGGGTACTGCCCAGGTACGGGGAGTTCTCCACCACTTGCAGTTGGATTCCGTTCACGCTGAGTTGCGGCGCGTTGGGGGAAGGGCTGTGTTGGGTGGCGGTTGATGCATGATCACCGTCTTCTGCCTGTTGATGACCAGACCGAAGTTCTCGCAGGCGGGGAGAAGAGGTCCATGCTCCGTTGCATGTCCTCTTCCAAGGCGGTCTTCAGGACGCAGTCGTTGGCAAACAGAAGTTCGTGAACGGTGGTAGTGGATACGCGCGATTGGATGTGCATCCCCGGTGCGGATCCCCGGGCGTTTATCACGGTAGGCCTCCATCAGCATTGCAGAGAACATAAGACTAAAGAGAGTGGGCGCCAGCACGGATCCCTGCTTCACTCCGTTGGTCACTGCGAATGCCTCCGAGACAGCTCCGTTGTCCGTGACTGGCGCCATCATGCCGTCGTGCAGCTGACGCACCATCGGAATGAATCGCTCGGGACAGCCGAACTTCTGCATGATCTTCCGAATCTTTCCTTCACGGTAGGAGGCCCTCTTCTAGATGGTTATTCAGGCGTTTGAGGAGGATGCGAGCGAAGATCTTCCTGACGATGTTCAGCAAGGAGATGCCACGGTGATTGTCGCAGAGTTGGCGGTTTTCTTTTCGTTTGTATAGATGCACGATTGTCGCGTCTGTGAAATCTTGCGGGACTTCACCTTGACGCCACATCTCCTGGAAGAGCGCAGTCAGGTGATCCATTAGATGGGAACCACCGTACTTGTAGACCTCAGCAGGGATTGCGTCCGATCCGGGTGCTTTCCCGCTGGAGAGTTGCTGCACGACCCTGAAGGTTTCCTGGAGAAAGGGCGGGAGGTTGAGGTCCACGTTGGTCTCTAGTTGCGGCAAACGGGCGATGGCGGCGTCGGAAATAGTGGAGGGGCGATTGAGGACGCTTCGGAAATGCTCGGCCCATCGCTGTAGAATTTGTGTCTTCTCAGTCAGGAGGGTACTGCCGTCAGCGCTGAGGAGAGGAGCGGTACCTTTGGTCTGCGGACCGTAGGCAGCTGTGATCGCGGAGAATAAGTTTTTCCACTCGTTGCGGTCCGCGTACCCTTGGATCTCCTCGGTCTTACGTGCAGACATGACGTCCTGCATCTCGCGCAGGCGCTGTTGCATGAGGTAGCGACTGCGGTAGAAAGCAGCTCTGTTGTCGTCAGTGGGGTGGTCTACGTAGGCTTTGTGTAGGCGGTTCTTCTCAGCAAGCAGATTGCTGATAGCGGCGTCGTTGTCGTCGGACCAGTCCTGGTGTTGGCGGCGTGCTCGAACGAGGACGGCTAACGCCGTCGACTGGACCGTGTCTCGCAGTTGACACCATCGGTTCTCCAGGGAGGCGTTCTCGGCAGCGGCGGCGGCGGCGGCGACGGCAGCGATTGGAAAGTTGTCTAGCCGTTGAGCTAGCACATTGCTTAAGTGAAGATGGTGAGCGGGCAAAGACAACAAGGTAATATTCAGCTTACCTGGGGGTGGCTTACGTTGTGGTCTCCTGCGAGGCTGTAAGCGAATACGCGTCTTGGCGAGGACGAGGCGATGGCCGGTCCATCCGTCAGTGTCCGCGATCGCCTTTGTCACCAGCACGTCCCGCCGATCTCACCTCCGGACGAGGACATAGTCCAGCAGGTGCCACTGACGCGACTTAGGATGCCTCCAGGTGGTCTTCTCTCGCTCCGGCAGACAGAAGGTGTTCGTCAGGATGAGGCGGTGTTCTGCGCAGGTGCGGAGCAGCAGCAGACCATTGTCGTTTGAGCCGCGGAGACCGTGGGGACCCAGCACTTCTCTCCAGGCAGTATGGTCTGTGCCGACGCGGGCGTTGAAGTCACCAAGGACAATCAATTTGTCCGCCTTCGATACAGTCGCCAAGAGGGCGTGCAGGTCCTCGTAGCATTTTTCTCTTGCGGCTTCGGGACAGCTCCTCGGGGGAGCGCAGGCGCTGATGATGGTGGTGAATTTACCCCCCACCCCGGAGAGGCAGACGGAGGCTCATCAGGCGATCGTTGATGCCCTGCGGCAAACAGGGCAGTCGTCCCACGATGTCGTTCCGAATGGCGAAGGCGACACCCGCGTCCCGTCGCTCTGCCCTGGGTCGACCGCTCCAGAAGAAGGTGTAGCCGGCACCCACCTCCTCCAGTTGGCCTTGTTCGGATAATCGGGTCTCGCAGAGTGCGGCGATGTCCACCTTGTAGCGCGCCAGTTCTCGTGCCACTAGCGCCGTCCTCCGTTCCGGTCGGTTGCTCCTCGGATTGTCTAAAAGGGAACGAACATTCCAGGCTGCCAGAGTGAGCGGGCTCACCCTGCCAGTCTGGTGACAACGAGTGGGGCGACGGGAAGGAGATGGAGAAGAAGGTGACGAAGGAGAAGAATAGGCAGAGGAAGAGGAAGAAGAGGTAGGATGAGGAGAATGAGTATGGTTGTTGTTGTTGTTACTGGTATTGTTGATGTTTCGATTTTGATTGTTTCGACCATGATTAGACGTCTGCGGCCCTGGCTAGCCTGGAGACGGCGTGGTACCCAGCAATGTTTAGTCCACCTTTTCTAGGCCCTTCCCCTCGTGGGGGCTGGCAGTGCCATCCCTGAATAGGGCTGCCATGTGCCGTTGTGACACGGCCGAACTCCTCTATGGGACCACGACTTCGGGTTGTAGTGGAGAGCGACTCGAATTCGCCGTAAGCCGCGGTCTCCGACGGCGTAGGTGGGCGCGTCAAGGCGATGTCGATGTAAAGATCCATCCCGTCACCGGCTGTCCAGCGGCGTGCAGAGACGAACCACGTCACGACGGTGCCGACGCAAGGTTCCATCCGACCTTCCATCCAGCGGAATCCGCAAACCCTGTGCACACGGCACAGCGCACAGGGCCCCCTCACCTGGTTTAGCCCGCCGGTCGAGACGGTTGCCCGGGGTGTGGCCGCTGAGCAGGTGGAGAAGAAAATGACGGAGCAGAAGAATAGGCCGAGGGAGAGCAAAAAGAGGCAGAATGAGGAAGAGAGTGAGTATTGCCGTTGTTGTTTCGATTTTGCCTGTTTCGACCGTGAGTTTTTCGTCTGCGACCACGATGCGCCTGCAGACGACGTGGTTCCCCAGCAATTTTTAGGCCAGCTTTTTTAGGCCCCCTCCGAAGAGAAGCAGTGCCCGGTCCCTGAATAGGGCTGCTTGATGTGCCGCGCGGCCGAACTCCACTGTGGGCCACGAATTTGTTTGACAGTGGAAGAACGACTCGAATTTGCCAATGGCTTACGACATTGCCGTAAGTCGGCGGTCTCCTACGGTGCACCAGATGGGCGCGAGCCAGCGACGCCGATTCGAAGATCCATCCCACCGGTTGGGTCAACGGCGTATCAGGCGGAGCCTCGTCTCGACGATGCCGATGCGATGTTCCACCAACCAGCTGACCAACAGCGTAGACGAGACCTCTTCACGACGGCGCGGACACGGTGTTCTATCCGACCAACCGTCCAGCGGAGTCCGCAGTACCCTGTGCACGTGGCACAACGCGCACAGGGGGTAACCGCCCTCACCTGATTTAGCTCGTCGGTCAAGGCGGTTGCCCGGGGTGTGGCCGCTGAGCAGAGCCCAGCTACGTGGGGCCACATGTGAGAGTTGGGTGCCAGCAAGTGGACGCTAGGCGTAGGCCCACCTCCAAGCAAGTGAGCAACCACTACGACCATCACTTGAACCCACCGCTGACACCCCTACATCCCACATGCATACATACATACATACAGTGCGTGGCCGATCTCATGAAATATTGGCCAAATTTCTGCAATGCGTTTTCGACTAGGAAGGATTAATAATATAGCGTTGTAATATTAATTATCATGTTGCACAATCCTATAGTATTTCGGACTCGCCAGGATATCAGCTTTTGAATGCACTTTTTTCTGACCTCGCGCAGAAGCAGTAGTCGGTAAAAATGACTACTTATTAGCATACATTTTTCACATTGATTTCCGATCCTCTTATGATTTAAAAGTTATTTTATAGAAAGTATGCACAAAATATGCTTTCCTTTAAATATCTGGTAGAAAATAACATTTTCTTCACATTTTATGCCCGAAGAAAGTGTATATTTGGATTTTGAAAAAGTTTCCAAATTCTCGAATAATGTTGAGCCAGATCAGCCGTTGCATTAGGGTTTGACGATTTCAGTCTACAAGCTGCATGCGTTCCGCGTAAGAAAAGTCATATATTCCTCTATGCCTTTAAGAAAGTACTGTATAGAGTTCATAACATCTTGCAATAGATACGGGCTGTGTTGTACATTTCACGAGGAACAATGTTAAACTGACGCGTGCGATACTTAATAGTTGAACATCGCACGGTCTTGAAAACCTCATAATGAGGGACTTATTTAAAACGGAAGGATAACCTTACTTAAGGTACAAAATACAAAGAAATGTTATTTTCTACCAGACATGTAAAGGAACGCATATTGTTGTGCATGCTTTCTATAAAATAATTTTGACTTCATAAGACTATCGAAAATCAATGTGAAAAATGGATGCTACTAAGTAGTCTTTTTTTTACCGACTACTGCTTCCGCGCGAGTTCAAAAAGAAGTGCATTCAAAAGCCGACATTCTGGCGAGTCCGAAATACTATAGGATTATGCTACAGAATAATTAATATTACAACGCTATATTACTAATCCTTCCTAGTTGAAAACGCATTGCAGAATTTTGGTCAATATTTCAGGAGATCGGTCACGCACTGTATCTGCACACACACATAGCTGCTGTCTCCCCGGAGTGGTTTAGCTCATTGGAAATATTGAATGCCTATACTAGTTTTAAAAAAATCAGCAATCGCCCTTTCAAAACGGCAGACCTTGCTGTCTGCAAACCCATACACTGCTATGTTAATATAGCCGTCGTCTGTGGAACTCGCGCCTCAGTATAAAGATAAGAGAACGACGAAGTATCTTTAGGTTAGGTCTCTTTCCAAGTAGGTCACTTAGATAAGTGATTAGCAATTTGATTCGTCCTGGACGGCAAAAATGAGTCACCTGCCATGCGGCCTTGGATCGACAGCCAGCTGATCGACGTGGACTCCTGATCCGCGATGTGAGATTCGCCCTCGAATTACGTGAGATCCTTACGCCATTAAGTCTCATTTCAACGACTATCGGAACATGCCAAACATGTGCTGAACGTTAGCGAACTAGGTATTCGCGCTGCCGTCGATCGATGAGTTTGTAGAGACCACGCCACAGGGTAGAAAGCGGCAACGATCATCATCTCACGTTCACTCAATTTGAGTGAACCCTCGTTTGCGGCGGTGGTTTATGCTAGAGTGCACATTTGTCAGGAGGTCGTGCCTGTGACAGTGGTGGAGCGCAGTGCTGAATTTCGAACCAGCCACGGTCTAGATGCCTTTAAGGTGAGGTTTTTTAGCTACCCCAAGGACAACCCCAAATGAACTGAATATTAAATATCTGAACCTGCATTTAGGCATACTAGATCTGAACA